ATTTAGCTTCTACATTTCCCATACTATTCTCACCCTGCCCCCTGTCTATTTTCTACCTACCATCTATGCTACTTATTCTCTGTACCTTCTCCCCCCTGCTCTTCCTCCCACTCCCCTGTTGCTAACCCTCCATATGATATCCATTTCTGTGGCTCCGCTCCTGATCTAGCTGTTCTCTTAGTTTGCTTTTGTTTTAGGTATAGTTGTTAATAACTGAGAGTTTGCTGTCCCTTCACTGTTCATCTTTTTTATTTTCTTTTTCTTAGATAAGTCCCTTTAACACTTCATATAATAAGGGCTTGGTAATGATGAACTCCTTGAACTTGACCTTATCTGAGAACTTGACTTTATCTGCCCTTCCATTCTAAATGAAAGCTTTGCTGGATAGAAAAATCTTGGATGTAGGTTTTTGGATTTCATGACTTGGAATACTTCTTTCCAGCTCCTTCTTGCCTGTGAGGTCTCTTTTGAGAAATCAGCTGACAGTCTGATGGTAACTCCTTTATAGGTGACTGTCCCCTTATCTCTTGCTGCTTCTAGGATTCTCTCCCTCATTTTAATCTTGGCTAATGTAATTATGATGTGCCTTGGTGTGTTCCTTCTTTGACCCACCTTCTTTGGGACTTTCTGAGCTTCCTGGACTTCCTGGAAGCCTATTTCCTTTGCCAGCTTGAGGAAGTTCTCCTTTATTATTTGTTCAAATAAGTTTTCCACTTGTTGCTGTTTCTCTTCCCCTTCTGGTACCCCTATAATTCAAATGTTGGAGCGTTTAAAGATGTCCTGGAGGTTCCTAAGCCTCTCCTCATTTTTTTGAATTCTTGTTTCTTCATTCTTTTCTTTTTGGTTGTTTCTTTCTTCCTTCTGGTCTACTTCACTGATGTGAGTCCCAGTTTCCTTTCCATCACTATTGGTTCTCTGTGATTTTCCTTCATTTCACTTAGTGTAGCCTTCATTTTTTCATCTAATTTGCAACCAAAATCATCCAGTTCTGTGAGCATCCTGATCATCAGTGTTTTGAACTGTGCATCTGATAGGTTGGCTATCTCTTGGTCACTTAGACGTATTGGCTCTGGGGCTTTGATCTGTTCTTCCATTTGAGCCATTTTGGGGGGGGGGTCTGGTTGTGCTTGTTACATATGAGGGGAGGAGCCAAGGTGTTCACCAGGGCGGGGCAACTCACATCTCTGGGTTGTGACGCTGTATGTGGGGGTAGGGTCAGAGAGAGAACAATGGTGCTTGCTCCACTCTCTCTTGGATTTCAGTTTCTTCTGCCGCTTCTCACAAGCAAATTGGGTCCTTCTGGTGCTGGTTCCTGGGTGGGTGGGCTTGTGTTAGTTCTAGGACCCTGTGGGTCTCTCCAACAAATTTTCCTCTAAGGCTGGGAGTTTCTCCGCCACCTCAACCCCCACATGTGTTCCCAATTGGTGCTTTTAGGCTTTATTTCCTGGCACTGGGGCCCTGGGTTGTGCAGTCTGTCTTGCTGCTTGTTTTTGCTATCTGTGCACAAATGTGTGACCATGGTCAGCCAGCCACCTTGTGTGCCTCACTGGGTTTGCTTGTTGCCACCCCATGCCTGGGGTCTGTCAGCTGCTGCCTGCATGCTTGGGTCTGCAAGCCACTGCTTTTTTCTGCTGTGACCCCTCTTTGCTGGCCAATGACCTCGCCCCTTTTACCAGTCTGGATGAATTGCTGTTGGACTTCCATACAGTTAAATTTTCTGTCAGTTCTGGGTGCTTTTTTGTTTCTAAAATTTTGTTGTCCTTAATTTTGGTTGTGTAAGGAGGAACAGTATGTCTACCCACACTTCCATCTTGGCCGGAAGTCTAAATCATTATATTCTTAAGGCAAAGAACAAATTAATGAAGTGCATTACAAATATATTTGTGAAATCATGATATCCTGGAATAGCAAGACTGATACCAGGAAGTCTAATGATCCAGAAAAATTTAATAATTTTGCATGTTTTGAGAGTAATCTATGCTTGGTTATTGAACTTTTACTCTATTATCCAAATTTGAAGCATGTAGAAAATTGTCAAGAAGAAAAATAAAAAACAAAAATAAATTTGATTCCAACTCCACCACTTAGAGACAATTCACTGTTGACATTTAGGGACATTCATTCCAGATATTTCTATATGCAAATACACAGGTAAGAATGAGAATGAAAAAAGTGTGTATAGGTAAGAAAGAGAAATCATTTTATAGAGAATGGAAATACCTACATATATCATTACACAAAAAGGGATCACACTTTTCTTTTAAACAAAAGCATGACATTTATCAGAAGGAAAAACTTGAAGAAATTCTTAAACTTTAGAAAACATTTTATTTTTTAATAAAAGATGTTACTTATTTATTTTTGGAAAAATGGGAAGGGAGGGAGAAAGAGCAGGAGAGAAACATCAATGTGTGAGAGAAACATTGGTTGGTTGCTTCTTTTTTTTTTTTTTGGAGAACTTTATTTATTTATTTTATTTATTTTTTTAATTAAATTTTATTTAGTTACTTTTCAAGTACATTTTTTAAATCTATTTCTCCCATCCCACCCCACCCCCCCACCCAGTCTCCTTCCTCCCTCCCATTGGTTGGTTGCTTCTTATATATGCCTCAGCTGGGGACCAGGCCCACAATCCAGGCATGTGCCCTGACTGGGAGTCAACTGGTGACCTTTTGCTTTGCAGGATGATGCTCAACCAATGAGCCATGCTGGTTGGGGCTCAGGAAATATTTCTTGATGCCAAGAAATACAGCTTCCTAAAAATAACCCTTTAAAATTAAGAAAAAAGGATAACACTGAAAGTTTTGAGTCAGTTTTAAAAACAACATGTTTCATCTTTCGACAATATCTATTCACTTCCAGCCAAGAATCATGAAGAAATTTCACACACTTTCCTTAATTTCCTCTCCTGTGGCGTCCTCCTTCTAATTTTGTTGATTGTATCATTTTGACATGGGAAAGGTTCATAATATTTATATTCCATTATTTTATCACAATTCCCACGGCTGTCTGGTTGGTTCTGTTTTAAATTGGATCTGGTGTTTTTTTACCATGACTTAATTCCTATTTTTGGAGCCATTCCTTTATTGGGGGGATTTCTCATCAAGTAGTGTTTTTTTCACATAGGTCTCATGGGTTTTGCATGTTTCAAAGGGTCTGTGTCTTTATACTTAAAGTGCAGGTTGGGTAAAAATTCTTGGGTCATATCTTTCTAGACATTATTCCTTTGACGTTTACTCTAGACCCACAATTTTCAACCTTTTTAATCTCATGGCACACATAAACTAATTACTAATTAGTTCTGTGGCGCACCAAAAAATACATTATTTGCTGGTCTGACAAAACAATAGGTATAATTTTGATTCAGTCACACTCAATAGCTATTGTTGTGTTGGCCGTTGTCATTTTTTTATTTGACAATATGAGGAAAAAGAGGTCAGTGCCCCTGACTAAATTAGTCAGGTGTGGCATGGTTTAAAAATTCTTATGGCACACCACTTGAAAATCGCTGCTCTAGATATTGCTCCACAGATCTTTCAGGGCCTTACTCCTTGCCTTCTGACGCTGAGTGTTGCTTTGGGGTTTGCTAAGGCTAACTGACATTGATTTCTTGTACAAGACTTGCTTCTTCTACTTGGACACACTTAAAATTCTTTTCTCAGATTTCAGCAACTTCACCAAAATCTACCCAAATCAGTACGTTATTTGGGATATAAATTCAGACAGAAACCAAAAAAATAGTGGCTTTGAAAGACAGAAATGTATTTGTTTATCATTTAATGATATAAACTGATGCTGCAACAATGTTCTAGTGAAACTGTCGAGGGTTCAGGCTCTTTCCATGTTGCTGCTCTACCATCCCGAAGATGCTGTCCTTGTCCACATAGACGAAGATGCATTTGCTAACCAACAGGAAGGGGAAAAGAAAAAGGGAAGGGCATAGCAGTTCTTCCCTTTAATGATATTCCCAGAAGTTGCATATAGTAATCTTTGGCTCATATCCCTTAGACAGAACTTGGTCAGAAGACCCTATCTAACTGCAAAGAAAACTGGGAAATACAGTCTTCATTCTGAGTGGCCACATATCCAGTTAACCATATTCTAGTATTATGGAAGAAGAGAGGATGAATATGGAGAAAAATTAACAATCCTTGCTATAATCAATCTGTATCATTTTTTCCATGGGTTATGGTCTGTCCTTTCCTTCTGTAGATTCAAATCTTTATCTTGGAAAAGTTTTTTTCTGTAACATCTGTGAATATATTTTTTTCTGTTCAATTGATTGTGTTTTCTACTGTAGGAATGTCAAGTATTCATCTTTTGTACTTATGTATGTCTTTTTTAAATTTTAACATTTGTACTTGTATTTGTATTTTTTGTACATGTCTTCCATATTCATTGTGCCTGCACCTTGACGGCTCCCAGAGGGAAAGAGGCAGAGAGGGAGTAGAATGAGAGCCTGGGAGAGGTCGTCTAAGTGAGGATGAAGGTGAGAATTGCTGGTCGCGTGCCCAGGTGAACCCACGCCTACCTCGAATGGCATGATGCCAGGAGGAAGAGTCGATATTGAGGGAAAGAGTAAAGAAATAAAAAGGAGTCACTATGGCCAAGCTGCTAAATTATTAAAGTCAAGTAGGCTGAAGCAAAAGAAAACTATTCTTGCTTTACCTAGCCTAGCAACTTAAACATTTGGATTTCTCACTTGTGCCTCAGTGCCTGGATGTACTTAAACTGCATAGATAAACCTCTGAAGAACCTAAGAAAAAATGTTCATGTGCTGCTGATGTATATATCTCTTATAGATTACCACTTGATGTGCTTAAGAAAGAATGCTGCATTCTGCAGACTACCTGGCATCTATTATGCAGACCACTGGTCACCTGGAAGATCACCATCCTGAGCCAATAGCAGGCTAAGAATGCAGGACAGACTTTTCTCAAATGTGTTCTTTTTACTACAAAAACTCTCAAACTGGGAAAGGCAGCAACACCAGACCCAAGATGGCAGCCAGCAGGAGGCTGATGAAGGAGCTTGAAGAAATCTGCAAATGTAAAGTGCAAAACTTCCATAACATCCAGGTGGGTGAAGCTACTTTATTGATTTGGCAAGCGCTTATTGTTCCCGACATATGATAAGGGCCCCCTCCATATGATAAGGGGCCCCTCAGAATCAAAATCAGCCTACCAGTAGAGTACCCACTCAAACCACCAAAGATCACATTTAAAACAAAGATCTGAAAAAAAAAAACACCCAAAAACCAAAAAACAAAGATCTGTCATCCTAACACCCACGAAAAGGGGCACGTCTGAAAATAATTAATTTTTCAGTAATTAGTGCTGAAAACTGGAAGCCAGCAAGCAAAACTGACCAAGTAATCCAGTCTGTCATAGCACTGGTGAACGACCCCAAACCCGAGCACCCACTTCGGGTTGACCTAGCTGAAGAATACTCTAAAGACCATAAAAACTTCTGTAAGAATTTAATAACATTGATTAAATGGCAACCTGATATCTATGGTCTGTGACTGAACTCCAGCCTGGCCTGGCCTGGCCGGCTTGCGAAAAAACTGCAATATCAGGTCTGTGGCCACCCCAGGGGATGGCCTGCCAGCCAGAGGACACTGATCTTATTCGAGGAATTTCTTATAAGAGAGGCTCCTGAGGCCAAAGATTGGTGCTTCTCCCTGCAGCCATTTTACAAGATGTGCTGGTCACTGCAGACAACACTAAAGCCAGAACGTCCATTTGAAATTCCATGGTCACCTGTCAGCAAGTTCCATCCGAATGTGCCATGGAGCTTGCTCTCCAACTGCCCCGTGCAGCAACCCCACCTCAGCCCTCCCTCAGCATGCTTTGACCGTTTGCGTTTGCAGGTTGGAATTGGCAGGACTCAGCGTAGCCAGCACGGGTCTGGGGTTACTGGTACCCTGCTGGCCTCTTCTTTCAAAGCACCTGGCCAGGCCAGCCCAGCCCAGGAACAAGACAGTCTTCCCTCTCCCTTTGGACTCATAGCTTTTTGCAGAGCAAGCTCCACTTGAAGCTCACTCCATAATGCCTTTTACATGTGTTTTATATCATTTCGACTGCCTTTTTTTTAGCAGAAATAAAAACTGACCTTAGAATTTATCCTCAAAAAACAAAAACAAAAAACCCTCTCAAACTTTTCTTTCTTCTTGGAAACACCCCCGGTATTACCCGTGGTGGGTTTGTTTTTTTTTTAATTGTAACAGATTTTTTTCCCTCTCCCGGGGACATGTTTATTGACTTTAGAAAGAGAGGAAAGGAGGGAGAGAGAGGGAAAGAAACATTAATGAGAGAGAGAAACATCAAGCAGTTACCTCTCATCCACGCCCCAGCGGGGGGGGACTGAATCTGCAACCTAGGCACATGCCCTGGCCAGAATCAAACCTGTGACCTTTCGGTTTACAGTCAATACTCCAGCCAAGTGAGCCACATCAGCCAGGGCACCTGTACTGTTTTTGATTGGCAAATCCTAAAACTCCTGAGTAAATATCTGTCATTTATTTCTAGCCAATGCCTCCTGTTTGAGCTCTTCTGACAGCATCTCTACCCGCTCTGGAGCTCTGGATTTATTCGTGCCAGAAGAGGTATTGTGTTAGTGCAAGGACTCTAAGCCATGGCCTGGAGGAGCCTTCGTGTCAGAGCTTGGTGTGTAGACAAGGGTGGGGTGGCGCAGGTGCCAAGAGAAGTCAGCAGATCTTGCAGTTCCTGGGAGGGAATTTGCACTTTCTTCAGAGCAGTGAGGAGCTGTTAAATGTTCAAGCCAGGAAGAGGCAGGGTAAGATTTTATTGAGAAATATTTAATGATCTAATGTAAGACCATTAATTCACTCAAAGGATTCTATACTGCATTAATCACATTGGCATCCACATAGATTACAGCAATGCCCGCATATGGGTAAAACACGTTTTCATTCTGTGGACAATGATTGGTGCACATCATGATTCACAGACCCTTCACAAAACTTTGGGCCCACACCCTCCGCCCCACTGGGGCTCAGGGCTCACAGGCTTGGCATCGTGGGTCTGGTCAATGTTAATGCTGCACTGTTCCTCCTAAGAGCAGTTAGCAACAGGTTCAGCTTCTTTCCTCAGGCTGGGAAGATCATGTCCCCAGCATAAAGAGGAATGCTTGCCTCCCATTCACTATAAGGGAAAACACTTCTAAGTCACATAATAGTTGCTACTTCTAACCACTTAAATACAGTTGGCCCTTGGACAGTGTAGGGACTAGGGGTATTGGAAACCCATGTACAAATTTTGACTCCCTGAAAACTTAACTACTAACAACCTCCCATTGACCAGAAGCCTTACTAATGACATACACAGCTGATTAACACATATTTTGTGTGTTTATATGTATTATATCCTGTATTCTTATAATAATCTAGGGAAAATAAAATGTTATTAAAAATAATAAGGAGTAGAAAATACATTTACAGTACTGTACATATTTATTTAAAAAATTCATGTATCAAGTGACCCCGCAATTCAAACCCTCGTTCAAGGGTCAACTGTATTTGCAAACAATTGGGGAGGCTAATACCTCATACATATTTATACAAATCAGGACTGTTAGCAAAACTAAGAAATATTATTATGTCATCAGTTTTTAATTTGCCTGACTCTTTTAATCCTCACAACATCCGCTTAGGTAGATGCTATGAGCACAACTGGAATTAACTACCTAATTATGTGATCTTTTGTTCAGTACCCGTAGTTTGTGATACATTCAAGAGAGCAAGGAGCGTGTCTTTCTTGTTTATCCTTGTTTCCTTGGTGCCTCAGACAGTGCCTGGATGTGGTACACATTCAGAATGCATTTGTTGAACGGATTTTTGAGTTCCCCTTTTACAAGTGAGGACACCAAGGCTCAGAGATGTTAAGTAGCTCACCAACTATTAGGTCACCAGCTAATCCAAACCCGCATCTGCTGGACGTCATCTTCTCACTGACTCCCAGAGAGCTTAAGGTTTTAGAAGGATCCAACAGCTTGGTTAAGTTCATAGCTATTAAATAGAAAGCTACTGAAAGATTCATTAACACCTTTAAAAAATCTTAACCATTTTGAAAACACAAGTCAGAATTCAGAGGTGAGCAACAGGAAAATGGTTATGTTTAAACTTGCCGCATTTCATAAACATACTACTCTGGGAAATCCACACCTGGCATTTGAGAACAAAAGCTGGCATAGAACTTAGAGGGAGTGTTATTAGGAATTTACCCACCTAAATCTCCCTAAGCTTATTATCAATACAGAAGGTGTTTTCATTAAAATAGAGATCGCTGTGGTTTTACAGCTTTTTTTTCCTCAACCGCAATCCTTATCAGGGGAAGACTCCAGTGTCATGGCCACAGGACATTCATCATTCTTACCTTACTTATTTGAAATAGTTGGCCAAAGAAGGCTGGATCCTGATTCTAGACCCTTCATCACAACCAGCCTGGCCTGGGCACAAATTTCCTTCTAAATACTCAGTACTTCGGGGCCTCTGGAAAATGCAAAGAAAAACAAGATTACCATTTCCCATGGGAAGGGTATTGATGTAATTTGTACAAGCACCTATGGGAACAGAGGGAACTTGAGTCCCTGGGAAAGGGCTCCATTGGGAGTAAGTAACAAGTCTTGGGCTACTCCCATTCCAGTCCCTTTCTAGGCAGGAGTCTCACCAAGCTGCCAGGCAGGCCCTCAGCCAGCCAATGCAAGAGCAACCCTGTGTGAAGTGCAGGTATTGCATCAACCAAGAGATGAGCCCAGGCCTTGTCTTCTGTCCAGGTTCCATCACCCAGAGTGTGACTAGAAGGAGAAATGAAAAACACCAGCATATGACTTCAAACTTTCTCTTCTCGCTGCAGCAAGGGTAGAGGTCAGAGTGCAAAGGTCTTAGAAACTTGAATTCCCTATAATTTTAGAAACTAACATTGACATAGATTTTGATGGTCTCTGAGCCATCTCTGAGCTGCAAAAAATTTTCACATGTACCATCCCACCATGGTGGACAGAACAATGTTATTATTCCCAAATTAGAGACAAAGAGAGTACATCACACATCTAAAGCCATGCTAGTTCACACAAAGCCAGCCTCCCGGTGGACTGTTGCTCAGTCATGTTGTTTTATTTGCTTTTCTCTTTAAGTCAATTAGCTGCTACTTTTACATCACTCATTCTCCACCTTTGGTGTCTCATCCAAGAATCTAATGAACTCTTTGGATTCTCTTCCCCTCAAAAAGCACATCTATTCACCAACATATACAAGCATGTGCACACACACATGCAAACACACAATTGTATATTAGTGATCAGGGCTCTCAGAGATCCCCTGAAGACCATGGACACAGGGCTGAGAACCCTACTACAAGTAATGTGTGTGAGACCGAACCACATGCAAGGTATGAACCATATTTCCTCGTTCAGAAAGTAAGCTGCAGAACACATTGTAGGGACTGCCAGAGAAATCTGATTTTGGAATATGCATATTAGATTTTATGGAAATTTCTTAGCTGATATTAGATTAATTTTCTTAGATGCAATAATAATGTTTATGTATACAGAAGAATATCTTGATCTTTAGGAGATGCTTAAGTATTTAGAGGTGAATATCATGAAGTCTGCATTATATTTTCAAGTGGTGCAGAAAAAAATATAGAAAGATGTAAGGTTGAACCATATGATATTTGCCCAGATTATATCATTTTTAATTAATAAAAACAGGAATTGTGTTTTATTTAACCTAATTTAAAAGTAAATATAGCAAATTACTAATAGTTTAATCTATGCCATGGTATATGGATGTTTGCTGTAAAGTTCTTCCAACTTCTCTGTACATAGGAAATTTTCATGATAGAATGGGGGAAAAAGAAGTTTCTGTTTGTGATAGCTCTCAAATCTACTCCTCTATTAGTCATCTATTGCTATGTAACAAATTACCCCCAGATTTAGTGGCTTAAAACAACAAATATTTTGGGGTATGCACCCAAAAGAATTTAAAGCAGAGGCTTAATAAAGAGTTACTCATACACCCACGATCACAGCAGCATTATTCATAATAGCCCGACAGTCGAAGCTACCCCAGTGTCCAGCAGTGGATGGATGGATAAACGAGATGTGGTACATGACCACACTGGAATATCATTCAGCCTGAAAAAGGAAGGAAATTTTGACACGTGTTATACCCTGGACAAACTTTGAAGACATTTGGCTAAGTGAAATAAGCCAGTCACAAAAGGACAAATATTATATGATTCCATGTGTATGAAATCCCTAGAGTAGTTGAATTCACAGGGACGGAAAGTAAAGCAATGGTTGTCGGGGACTGGCAACTTCACAAAAGCTGCGTCCCATTGCAGTGTTAGTTACATATCCAGAGTTTCATTATTTAAATTAAGGCCAGTGTTGATCAGGCCCCTGGTACAGTTCTTTGAGAGCACTTCCTCTCAATCTGTGGGCCTGTGAAAATGAACAGAGCATCTGCCTACCCGTGACACACACCATATACACTAGTGGAACAGGCGTAGGATAAATGCTGTAGACATTCCTTTTCAAAATGAGGAAAGTGGGAGCCATAAAGGAGTCCCACAAAGGTTCACAGCAGTTCCAAAACCCAACCAGGCAAATGTTGGAAGTTACTTAATTAGGTCTCAAGAACTCAGAATAATTGTCCATGGTTCTAGGTTTTGCCAGCTGGGCCTTTCTTTTTTACGAAAGTTAGCACATGTGTTTGTAGATGAGTAGATTTCTCAGCCTTTTTCCTGGCATTAGAATTTGGGATGTCCAACGGCCTTTCTTTAGTTTGTACTGTCTCTGTCCCTTTCAGTCCTGCTTGGCACTGTTTTTTGCTGATATCATTCTCACAGAAACTTAGTGGGTCTCATGTGGTTCTCATTGGGGTTCACCCCATTGGACAAAAGTTACACCCACAAATCTCTGTGAGATAAGCCCTTCTCCTTGGCCTCCTGCTGAGACAGCAAACAATGCCCTTAAATTTCTTGGAGGTCCTATTGTTTGACTGAGAGAATCTGTAAAACATGCATCCTTTAAAAGGTCCTTTGTGTCCCTTTCTGCTACTGTGAGGTAGTACTGCCATTTATATTTCTGAGGTCCTAACAAAAGACTCATAGTCACACCATTTGCTGCTCTTTAGGTCGCTGTTTGAATTGCACCTTGGATTTCAACTTTTCTCAGAAGCCATTTCTTTCTTTTAGCATCTTCTGCCTCTGGACAGGCTGAGCATTTGTAAAAGCGCCAAGTCCTAGTTCCTTTTTGTTTAACAGTCTTTTCCTCAATTTACCCCTCTTCTCTTGCATTTTACTATAAGTAGCAAAAAGAAGACAGGTGTCACCTTAGTCACTTGGCTTGGAAATCTCCATAGCTGCCTACCACTGCCCCTTTCCGCTTCACTCCCACTCCCAATAGTAACTTGTGTTACTATTCTCTCCAGATGAGCGGTTCTCAAAGTTTTGGGGGTCAGGATCACTTTATACTCTAAAAATTATTAAGTACCCCAAAGAGTTTTGTTTATGTAGATTATACCTACCAATATTACTGCATTAAAATATGAAGCATGAGGCTGTTCGCTTTGGCAGCACATGTACTAAAATAGGAATGATACAGAGAAGATCAGCATGGCCCCTGTGCAAGGAGGACATGCAAAAAATTAAGCATGAGAAATTTTAAAAATATTTATTAACTCATTAGAAAAACCATTACAGGCCCTCCTCTAGCCAGGTATCCTTATGAGAGTGACGTGATCTTTAAACCCCGCATGGCAATCCCCGATGTGCCACCATGGTGCCCAGGGAACCAGGGTGACCTGGAAGTCCAACTGCTTCCTTATGATCCAAACTTCTAGATGATTATCTGAAGTGCTCTACTGTGGGGGCAGACAATGTGGGCTCTGAGCAGATGCAGCAGCCCTGCACGGCCCTCCTGGGACGGCTGTGGTGCTGCTGGCAAGAACACCGTGATGCCAACCCAGCTCTGGAGAAACTCTTCCCTCATATCTTGGGGGAGGTGGGCTTTGTGTCCACCAGGGAGGACCTCACTGAGATGAGGGACATGCTTGTAGCATAGGAGCTCCAAACTCAAACCAGGGAGCTGGTTAAGTGTTTGTGATATTCTGAAAAAAAAAAAAAAAAACAAACACCACCCGGAGGACTAGAAGATGTGGGCATACCATTTATTACTCACATTACAGGGGAGTGCATTGATGGCAGTGAGTTGGTGTGAGAGAGACCACACCTCCTCTAGTCTGACGCTCCTTATAAAGGGTCCCAGACAAACCAGGCACGTGTCCTGCCTGTGACTCTAAACTACATACCTCAGTGTAAAGAAAAGGTCAAGAAGCAGTCACAGGACAAGAAGCTGCTCCCAAGAGGATTTAAGGAGGACGTTATAATCCATTCCCAAAACAATACACATTCCTTCTGGCCAGGGGCCGTCTGACCAGCCCTCAGTCATGGGACAGGGAAGGGCCATGTCTGTTGATCCCACAATGCTGCTGGCCAATAAAGTGCCAGCTGCCCGCCCGTGTGGTGCCCCTGCCCTGTGTAAAGTCACTGTGCCAGCCCAGAACACGGTCTGGGGCCCGAGAAGACCTCCTCCTCCCAGGCTTTAGGCATCACCACTAAAATCTCCAGGGCACCACTGAAATCCTGAGTGATGAGTGATGTGCAGCTGATTAGGACTGGAGACAAAGCGGGAGCCAGTGAAACCACACTGCTGAGCATGCTGAACATCGCTCCCCTTCCCTTGGGGCTGACTGTCCTTCAGGCATTTGACAATGGCAGCATCTACAACCCAGAAATGCTTGACATCACAGAGGAAACTCTGCATTCCTGCTTCCTGGAGGGTGACTGCAATGTTGTCAACATATGTCTGAAGACATATGTTGCAAGTGTTGCCTCAGGACCCTGTTCTATCATCAGAGGGTACAAGCAGGTCCTGGCTTTGTCTGTGGAGACTGATTACACCTTTCTACTTGCTGAAAGGTCAAGGCCTTCTTGTCTGCTGCAGTGGCCGCTGCCACTACTGCTGCTCCTGCTGCTGCCCCAGCCCCAGCCTTAGCCAAGGCTGAAGCAAAGAAGAGTTGGAGGAGCCAGACGAGAATATGGGACTTGGTCTCTTTGACTAATCACCAAAAAGCAACCAGCTCAGCCAGCTTTATTTGTGTAAAGGCTAACTTCTCTTACAAAGGAAACAAAAACAATGTTCAAACATTGATGATGTTTGTAGCCTCTGGAAAACTCTACAACATACTCAGGATATCATGAGAGTAAGGAAGGCAAATAATATCTTAGTATTGTTATGAAAATAGTTTTAACTTCACAAACGCCGTGGACGGGTCTTCAGAACTTGGGTTGTCTGAACCACACTTCGGGAACTGCCATCTGGATTGTTCTCCTCAAAGCAACAACTTCCCATCCCCTCGGGAGCAAGTTTCAGTGCCTTGCCCTTCCACACCTGTTTCCTGCTCAGCCTTCCACTCACCTCCAGGACTCCAACCCTGCCGGCCATCCCCGCGCTGCCTCGAGGCCTTTATTCTTCCTTCTCATACTCCCCATTGCTCAGCAGTCATTGCCACCACCAGACTCCCATCTGCTCCGTGACCAGATGAGCTTGGAGTCATGAGGCACCTCGGATTCCCTGCGCCTTGCTAGCTTTGCTTACATTTTCTCATTAGAATAAAAATTACATAGTGGGACCCTAACTGGTGTGGATCAGTTGGTTGGGCATCACCTGCAAGGTGAAGGGTCACCAGTTCGACTCTGAGTCAGGGCACGTGCCTGGGTTTCAGGTTCAGTCCCTGGTTGTGGTGTGGTCAGAGTGCTTAATGAGAGGCAACCGATTGATGTTTCTCTCCCTCTCTTTCTACCTCCCTTCCCCTCACTCTACGAATAAATAAAAAATTTTAAAAAATTACATAGTAGCATATGCTTCTTAAAGAAAAAGGGATACAGAAATATATAAAAATTAAAAAAGTCTCTTTACTCCCACTCCCCAGTGGATAACTAGAGACTGCTAGTCAGGCATCCTTTTAACACACACACGTCAGGTGTGCGTTTCTTTTTAGTTTTTACAAAGAAAAGACCATATTACACATATGTCCTGGAACTGGTTCCCTTCCTTCCTTCCATTCTTCCTTCCTTCCTTCCTTCCTTCCTTCCTTCCTTCCTTCCTTCCTTCCTTCCTTCCTTCCTTCCTTCCTTCCTTCCTTCCTCCCTCCCTCCCTCCCTCCCTCCCTTCCTTCCTTCCTTCCTCCTTCCTTCCTTCTTTTTTCTTTCTCTTTTTTCTTTTGTAAAAGCATTGTAAATATTCTTTGGATAGATCTACTACATTTTTCCCCCAATTCCCCCCCACACACACACATACAAACAATGCTTATTTATTTGAACGGTTTCATTAAATAAGTTCACAAGAGTAACAATCTTCAGACAAAGTACATTTGGACAAAAAAGTCCAGTGTTTTGAGATGGGGGCAAAATATCCAGTTAGGAATTGGGCTAGAAACCTCTAATATTTGAACGTATTTTACTTTTTACATTTAAATAATACAAAAAAAACTATGACAGAAAAAAATTAATGTAAAATAAGACACTGAAATGAGAAACAAAATTATTTAAATGGGGACCCAGTCTGTACTATTGGAGGAATATAAGTCAAGACATTCTATGCTTAAAGTTTTCCATAAGAGGAAAAGCCTCACACTCATTAACAGACTGATAAAGAACTGAGTGTCTGCTGGTGGTCCCGCTCTGGGCTCTGGGTGACATCTCCCCTCCCACACTGCTCGGGATGCCAGCCTCCCAGTCGTTGGGATTGTCCTCTGTTCCATCCCCCTTGCTCTCTCCCAGGCAGTTGTGAGCAAAGAAGTGGGCCAAGTGGGTAGCTTTCCTTGAAAAGTGTACAGAGTTCCTGTCCTCTTCATCTCCACTTCCCAAACACCGTCGGTTTGAGCTTTTCTCATTTTTGTACCTTAAGGACACAATGAAAACCACCCATGAGGAAGAAGGCAGGATATCCCCACCTTTGTGAGTTGGTTCCTTGTGACTTGAGCTGAGTGAACGGCTAGAAATGTACAGTGTCTGTATTCAAGGAATAAGAAAAGCACACAAGAAATCCAGTCCCAGCGTCCCTCCCTATTTTCAGAGCACTCTGGAGATCACAAACAAAACCAGCTAAGCAAGGAATTATTCAGAGCTTTGAGTTCTTTTCCATACTGAAATTTTAAATTGTTACATAAATTATAAACCTGTCAGCTTTGTCCTTTTATGGTTTTTGTATTCTCAGTCTTGCTTGGAAAGAGCTTTTCTAACCCCAAGATTTAGGGGGGAAAAGAAGTTATGTATTTGATTTTAGCACTTTCAATATGGTTTAACTCCTCAATCTATCTGGAATTTATTTTAGGGTTCCCCAAATTGATGGATCAAGCAATCCCTCTAGTAGCATTTCCCTATTTATTTGAAGTGTCCCCTCTAACAGGTAAAGTGTACTTTTATTCTTCAGCTATTTCTAGATTGTATTCTGTTCCACTGATTTGTCCCATTGATTCTGTGTCTGTTTCACACTGTTTTTATTACTAAAGCTCCAAGGTCTGTTTTGATATCTAAAAAGGATATTTTCTCATTTTTCTTTTTAAAAAAGGTTCTATTTATTCTCATTTTCAGAGAGAGGGGAAGAAAGAGACAGGGAGAAGCACTGAGGTGTGAGACATACATTGACCGGTTGCCTCTCCCATGCTCCCAACTGGGGACCAGGCCCGCAACCTTGGTGACATGTGCCCTGACCAGGAAGCACACTGGTGACCTTTTGGTTCACAGCCCAGTGCTCAATCCACTGAGCTACACCAGCCAGGCCTCATTTTTCTTTACTTTCCCAATTTTTCTTAACTTTTTTTTTGTGCTTCATTAGTTTTACAACCCAAAGTAAAACTGAGTGTATTTTCTCATCTGAGAAGATCAAGACTTGGAACTCTACAATAATTTTATCTGCATGTCAGCAAGGTCCACCCAGGAAAATGGAGTCTTCTGTGTCTTTCAAGCAGAGGGGATCCAACACAGGGAACTAGTGACATGAGACAAAAGGACTAAGAAACCTAATGCAAGAACAGGAAGCTATTATAAGGGGGATGCAACTGGTGGAGGAGGAGGTAATATTACGGGGTAGGACTCATGTGGTGGGACTTAGAACTTTACTCAGGCAGCCTGATGGGAGCTGGGACCACGGGGGGAGGCCTGCAAGACAGTTACTGGAGCCAAGTAGGAGACATAGCTGTTGCCAGAGACACCCCAGGAAGGAGAGAAGAAGAGAGGAAGAGAGAGAGAAAGATAAGGAGAAATACTCAGGCTTCTCTAAGCTTTCACTGGTGCTTCCAGTTGGTTGAATCAGTCTGGAAGCCAGAGGGTAGGGGAGCCTGGGAAATGTAGTCCTCCTCTGTGATATAGCACAAAGGTTAGGAAAGTCAGGGAATTAATCAGAGCAAAAGCAGTCAGTTGGCTACAACTACATACTAGTAATCTCAGGAAAATTAACCTCCGTTTGCTTCAGCTTTCTCTTCCAAAAAGCAGGGATAAATAATAATAGTACTAGCCTCACAAGGCTAGTGTGAGGATTCAATGAATTAGTATGTGTTAAATACTTTGTAAGCATTTAATAAATATTAATTATTATTATTCTGTAAAATGAAGATGACCATTCCTATCTTTCAGAGTTATACTCAACAATAAAGTGAAGTAGTGACTGTAAAATGTTTGCATGATGTTGTGTACATAATACCGGATACTTCATAAATGTTAGCTCTCCTTGTGGCCCCTATGCCTCACTCTTAGTACATGCTCAATAATGTCTATAGCTGACAATAATGATGGCCTTGACCTGGGGAGAGATAGCTTCCTGAGAATTGGGGAGGACATTCTTGCTCTTTTGGAGAGCTAAGAGGACTCTGGAGGGCTGGGACTTTAGGGGTCTGGGCAGCGCATAGCTCTCCATCAGCCAGTATACCCACGTATAGAGGTGCATTTGAAATGACACCCTGCATCCTTTTCAGGGGGTTCTGCTCCCATTGGTGCCCCTTCTTGGATTGTAGTGTGGTCTTCTTGGCTCATGGTAATAGCTTCATTTCTATCACATGCACGGTATGAACATTCATGAGTATACAATGCTCTCCGTGTGTTGCGAGGTCTGCCATTTATGACATTGCCCCATCTGATCCTCTCTCTAATGCAGATCAAGCAAGCTTCACTATTGCTGCTGTACAGCAATGGAAGCCAAGACTCCAAGAAGACCCAAAGGTCCACAGTGACTTGGGATGAGACCACCTCACTCTAGTTCAGGATTCTTCCTATTAATATCTCAGGCTGCCCCCCTCACAAGCATGTGTGGATTAATGTATATGCACACACACTCACCTACCACCATCACCACCACCACATATATAATAGATTGAAAATCCCTGAAGAGAAGATTCATGATTTTTCAATCTTAGTATCCCCTGCAACAGATAGTGCCTGGCAGCTAGAAAATAAGTGATTGTGAAATTGAGTTGGCTTTAACTTCTGAACTGGGCCCCCTTGGGGGAGTGAGAGGGGCACATAGCTGAGGATCACTGCCAGAACCAGAGTTCAAGTCCAATTTGAACAAACTCTGACAGTGTTCTGGCCCTGGATTCTGGCTTTATCCAGACCATTCTCAGGCCACCCACAGAGAAGAGAGGCCTCATCACCAAGAGAAGCTGCTATGCCCTGGGAAATACATCTGCCTCCCAGGCTCTACTCCAAGGTGCCGAACAGCTTCTTCTGGAGGGTGGGGGCCCTGGAAGGCAGAAGCTTGTTCTAAAACTATGGTGATAATCAACCAGTTGCCTCAGCTGCCCACTCAGGGGCCTGGCATTCACCCTCATCCCTGGCAAACTAGTTAGAGAAGAAGTTTGGCAGGTGAGCATGGAGCACTGGCAAAAAGCATGGAACACTAGACGTTACAAGCCTGAATTAATAAAATGGATTGCCATTAGGGCATTGCTGTTTGCCAGGCTCTTCTACATAAACATAACTGGTTCTACTTCTCACTCAGCCAAGGCAGGAATGCTGCTGAATTCTGACTCTGCCCTTTTACTGGCTTCAGCTATAATACTTGCTCTCCTCTGGTATTTTGCAGAATCTACATATTAACTGATTTGGCTTTGCCTCTGTGCTTTTTCTCCTTATCCTGAAATCGGAGGTCACTCTGTCCTGTCAGCTTAGCACAGGTGGCCCAGGCAACTGCCCACACCACTGCTGTGTGCTTTGGAGAACCCTGTTGATGGCTGCATTCTCCGCTCTGCCCACAGAAGTCCCAGTGCCCTTGAGAGTCAACAGGAAAAGGTAGGGTCATGAATTAGGCTACAGGCAGCGAGTGGGAAGAACCAAAACCAAAGGCTTCACAACAGCCTGAGAGACCCTTCAGTTGGTCCCTTTATCCCTCAGGCCCCATTTCCTCTTACTCTTCTGTCACACCACTCTGTTTCTGGAATATGCCAGGCCCACTCCTGTTGCTGGGACCATGCGTCACTCGGTGCCTAGAAGCCTCATGCTCCCTCCAACTTCCTGTTTGGTGCTTTGCTCTGAAGTCATGTTCTCACTGAGGCCTTACTTGACCCCCCCTCTCTACAGCCTTTATTCTCTCCCCCCGCCTTTTCCTTGTCACCTCTCACCATCCACTGTATCTCGTTGGCTACTGGTCTCCCACCTCTGCGGTTTTTTCTGTTTGTTCACTGCTGCATCTCCAGCACTGACACAGTGCCTGACCCGTAGCACACACTCAGTAATACTCAGTAAATTCTTGCATAAATGAGGCTGGACTCTGAGCTGACACTAGGGAGCCAGGTGGTTGGAATCTCCCTTCAGGCCTGATCAGTTCATCTGTCTAACGACAAGAGCATATGTGCTGTTGTGTAAGCTGCTTCCAGCAGTAATTATTGATGATTTCAGGAGATCTCCTTTTACCACCCTAGAGAGGCTCAGACACAGGCAACGAGGGATGGGAGGCAAGAAGCTGCTGCCAGGTGACTAGCTGGGATCTCAAGTCATCCACCCCCAGAGTTAATCCTCAGTGAGGCTCAGGATTATTAGCTCTTGAGACTCACATGACCTCCTGGCTTGACCAGGCCCTAAAGGACCATGAAACGCACTTGAAAAAATAACTCCAACATAGGGAGGTAATACTGAGGCCTAGAGAAGGAATAAAGATTTGCTGAACTATGTACAGAAATTTTGCAAAATTAGACTTGATCTAGCTCTCATTCAATAAATACTTCTCAGGAATCCCTCTGCACTGGGCACTGTTCTAGGCAGGAACAGGACAATGAACCACAGGAACGAGGTCTGGACTTGACCTTTGTGTTTATTGTGAGTCCTGGTGTGCCATTCCTTCCCAAGGCCTAGGGCCGACTTCCCCGTGACCTGCTCTTCACATCTGAAATCGCCCCTGACCTATTAGCCACACGTAGATGGATAAACCCTCTTCATCTCATGAACTACACCAGCCAGACGAATGACACTCTGCACCGATTCTGCCACATACCCCTCCTCCATACCAGACGCATCAACGTTGTACTTCTGTCTAGCTTTCAGGAAACTCCAAGGCTCTTCTTCATCTGACCTTTCCCTGACAAACTCACCTTCTGTTTGTATGGGGCTAACTTTCTCAGGGGCCCCCGGACTAAACTGTATGTCTTCCGCGTTCAGCACCGTCATCCACCTTCCCTATCTGGGTCATCTCTCCCTTCCCTTCCCTTCCACCTGCCTCTTCAAAGCTGCTCATTACAGCTAATCAATGTCTCATCTTCAGGTGGAGGCAGCCTTCCTCAGATCCCAACTCTTGACAAACTCCCCACTGCCTAGAATGCCCGCTCACCATGGGTGTGTTGTTGTCCGTACCAACCATCTTTCCATGTAATGACCAGCTGTCCGAGGCTGTTTTGTGTGTCTGTGTCTCATCTCTCCATGAGTCTGTAAACGCCCTGAGAGTGGGGACAACTTTCATTTTTCTGTATCTTACACAGCCCAGTACCCATTCACTGGGCAATCAATCAGTGATAGATTTGACCTGGATTCACCAAATTGTGATATTTAAGAAGAATACATTTGAGGAAATGTGTATTTTTTAAAGATACAGAGAGAAAAATGTAGAATGCCAGTTTGGAATATGGTCTGATCACCACAATGTAAACAACGTATTCATCTGGGTAAAACTGCAAGGCAATTGGTGGGAATAGAGCTCTGTTAAAGTGATTTGTTGCACTGATCTGTGAATGTTGCTGATGCATTTTGTCAATGTAAGATCACGAAAACCTGTAGAGAACGTTTATAAGAGTTTATTTGAGCCAAATTGACAACATGAGAAAGCAAGGTCTCAAATGTTCTGGAGAATGACAATTTTGAAGTGCCCTTTATACATTTGGAATTAAAGAGGGAATTAAGGAAGATTACATGAGAGTAGGAGAAAGCAAGGCAGGGAAATCTGCATGATTGAATTACAGGATAGTTTACAACTCCAAAGGGTATGAAAAAAGAGGCTTACTCTGGCTTTTCAAAGGCGTGTTAACTGTGATGCACAAGAACAGTGGACAGGCCTTGCTCAGGGCAAAAGGATAAACCTTTTTACAGTCCTGGAGCTCACTACCACCACGACCTGCCTTGTCAGGAATTCAGGATCTGATCACCCTGTGAGGTTACTCTCAGTCAGATTTACTTCAGAGCCCCCTGCTTTTTGTCCTTAATTGTTTATGGATTTGAAAAGATTTTGAAAAATACATGGAGAACTTTAAGTGTCCTGGAAACATCCCAGTCTTGGGTGTAAACTCGTCAAGTCTTTCTTAGGAAGTTAATGGAGAGAGGGAGTGCGGTGGCAGGGTTGACGATCCTTTAGAGACTTTAATCGTTTACACACAAATAATTGAGCAAAAGGGAAAAGTATCTGAAGCCCACTTTTTACTTGCAAATATTATTTCACTGGGGATGGGACAGAAAATGAAATAGTTTAAAATAACCCAGTGAAATCATGTGAGCATAAGAATATTTTTTTCTCTCAACAAGAATGGGAACTCCCTGAATTTCTTGGGGCTTCGTGGTACTTGGAGAGGGGGTAGGAAAGGGAGAAGGTGGGTATACCTGTCCACCTAGGCAAGAACTGTTCTAGACACTGGCTTTCTTCGAGTCCTTAAACTTTTCTACATGTTCATTTTGTCCATATCAGATATTGGCTCTCAAAGATAAGGATTCCACTCTTTTGTCCTGCAAAAGAGGTGGCCCCACAGTACACCTAACATCTAAGAGGAACTTGAGAGGTCATTTGGTCCAATCCCCTCATCAGACACAGGAGAACTAAATTCAGAGAATGGGCATGTGCCAAGGCCATGTAACCAGGGATTTTGGGTGTGGGGTGGGAGGAAGTTCTAGAGAGCTCTGGAGTGTTCAAGCCCAGCCATTACACTGTCACTGGTTAGCTTGGATATTTAGAATGTCCCTCTGGTAAGTGTGCATTGAGCACATACCCCTTGGGCCAGAAAAATGGTAAAATACCAACAATAAAAAGTGATGTTCCTTAACATTAAGGAGCTGAAAATTCAGAGGGAGAGATGGGGCAAGTTAATGGATGAACACAAAGCAGAAAGGAGGGAGGATAGCAAGAGGCACATCAAGGTGGGCCAAGAAAGGCCCCGTCGTCATTAAGCTGGGCCTTGAAGGTTTTCACCACAATGAGAATGAAGTCAGAGGGCACCATACCAGTTGAGCTGATTTATCAGATACTTATTGATCACCATCTACCACATGCTAAGCAAAGTTCCAGGCACTTTAGAAGCAAATCTCTGCCCTCATGGAGCTTACATTCAAGTAAAAATGGGAACAGATATCTCACAAAGTATATGAGTAAAAGCAGGTTACACAGGTTGGAGAGATTATGAAACTGTGCAACCACTGTAGAAAACAGAAAGGCAGTTCCTCAAAATACTAAACACAGAATTATCATTAGATGCAGCAATTCCACTTCTGGTATGTACTCACCCCATGCAGAAATCTGGGGTGAGTGGTCTAAACAGAGCGATTAGCAAGTACAAAAGCCCCGAGGCAGAAACAGCAAGGAGTTTAATGTGCCAGAGCCATTGCCGTGAGCATCCATTGGTTTAGCTCTGTGCCTCTTCAGTCAGTACCAATAGTACTAGGGAACCTGCTTAAGAATAGAGCTGGGAAAAACTTCCCTCCGCCCTGGGGGAAAAGGCACAGTACATAGGACTTTATTTGGCTGCAGGGGGTGGAGGGGGGAGAATGACTTGGTTTTATTAAACTTGTATCAAAGTCACTATAGATGCTAGCAACAATTCTTCTTTTAGAAACATGACCACTCAGACCACAAGAGCTGCATGTGACCATAACTGCATTTCTCTGGAAAGAATTCTGCTGGGACAGGAACTGAGAATTCTTTCTCCATGACCTCTGGGTGAGTTTGTGTTCTATGAGAATATTGGCTTTTGCATTTCTCATTAACTGCTCTCATAGTTCCTGGTTTAACTGTCATTAAACTCTTTTATGACTTTCGCCCTCATGGAACCAAGAATAAAGGTAAGTAAAGAACTCATGCAAGGCAGAACATTCCAACAGTCTGAGGTGATTCCTTTTCATAAAACCTAAAGTTTCATGCCAGGGGATTTATAGAAAAATAAAGCCAGAATAATCAAGTGCAAATGATATCATTATAATGATGTGAGATGGAACAAGGTATTGCTTTCAAGGCATTTTAATTGCCAGATGCAAAAGATAGTAGAATAGAAATTCTTCTCCTTGAAATTCATGCCCCTTGAAATTTTGTCATCCTTATGGCTAATGACCAGTGGGGCTGTATTAAAGACTCTAGAACATTTCTGACAACAAGTGATGGCCAAGAGCCAGTCATGACTTCAGAGTGAGCTTTCTCAACCTGCCAGCCCACCATTTGGCTAGGCCTAAATGCCGGCTGCCTGACTCAGTCTGATTTGCAGCTCCGTGGATTGTTAGTCTGTCCTCATGTAGAAGCTGATACTCACAGTAAAGTTTTTAGGAAACTAGTCTGAAGTTCAATGCTGAGGAATGCGGTGGACCTCACAGTGATCTCCGGAGGGATCTTCTGTGTAAGCTGCAGTGTTCTGGAAAGAGCATGGGAAGGAACAGAAGCCAGGAAGTCTGAGGATTAATCATGGGTCACATATGTGCTGGATATCTTTAGTGTGCTTAACCTACCCCAGAGCCACTCCTTACTCTTGTTTGACTGGCTCTGTGGCCCAGGAGAGTAGGCCAGAGAACTTAATATTGAACTTAACAGGCTACCTGGTTTTATTGAGGCCAATGAGGATCTCTCAGCAGGACAGACAGGTTGAGTGTTAGTTCCCCTGATGTCCTAGGTCTCGGTGAGCCGCTGTATCCTACTACTGCAGGTCTCTCTCCCTAGGTTCTGGCAACTGTGCCTTCCTTTCTTCCTTGCAGGCCCAGGTATGTCTGCACGGGCCCATACTGTTCCTTGTAGTTTCTCCTCACCCTGCCCCCTCTTTACTGAAATATGCTGAAATTGCCCAGTTAGAGTGTGTCCTTCGGGACCCTGGCATAGCTACTAATGAGCTAGGCGGTCCTGGTCTCACCAATGTAGGCACTGTGGCTATGGTTTACTCATCTTTAAATTGGAAATTAAAATGCCAGCTCTTATAAACTTGTTTTCACAGGGTAACAATGGAGATAAAGCACTAAACACACATTTTTAAAACATGCCCCAGATGAAATTGCAAGACAAATAAAAATAGCCAGAAAAAAATATCCCTGGCTGGTGTGGCTCAGTGAATTGAATGCAAGACTGTGAAGCAAAGAGTTGCTGGTTCGATTCCAAGTCAGGGCACATGGCTGGGTTGCAGGGCAGGTCCCCAGTATGGGGTGAGCAAGAAGCAACCACACATTGCTGTTTCTCTCCCTCTCTTTCTCTCTTCCTTCCCCTCTCTCTAAAAATAAATAAATAAATAAAAAAATTTAAAAAGAATTCCAGAAAAAAAATAAACAAAATGGAAGAATGCAATCTATCAGGTCCAGGGTTTATAACACTGTATGCTCAATGAACTTAGGGGAAGAATAGATGAACTCAGTGAGAACTTACACAGAGAGGTAGAAATAATTTTAAAGCACAGTAGGAAACAAAGAATATAATGAGTGAAATAAAGAACACAGTGAATGAAATAAACAGCAGATTAGATGAAGCTGAGGATCAAATCAGTGATTTGCTAAGACAAGATAGCAAAAGTGCCCATTCAGAACTGCAAAAAGAAAAAATAAATTTTTGAAAATGAAGATAGATTAAGGTACCTCTGGGACAACATTAAGCATAACAACAGTCTCATCCCAGGAGTACTGGAAGCAGGAGAACAGGGGCTTGAAAACCTATTTGAAGAAATAATGACTGAAACTTCCTTAACTTGGAAAAGGAAATAAATATACAAGTTGAGGAAGCAGAGAGAGTTCCAAACAAGATGAACCCAAGAGGCCCACAGCAAGACATATCATAATGAAAGTTCCAAAGGTTAAAGACAAAGAGAGAATTTTAAAAGCAGCAAGAGAATAGCAGTTAGTTATACACAATGGTGCTCCAATAAGCTTATTTCTCAATGGAAACATTGCAGGCCAGAAGGGACTATTATGAAATATTCCAAGTGATAAAAGCAAGGACCTACAACTTAGATTACTCTACCCAGCAAGGCTATCATATTTATTTATTTATGATTTTTACTTATTTATTTTTTAAAGAAAGGAGAAGGGAGGGAGAAGAAGAATGAGAGAAACATCAATGTGAGAGAGAAACATCAATCAGTTGCTTCTTGCACATGCCCCAACAGGGGACTGAACCCACAACCTAGGCACGTGTCCTGACCAAGAATTTAACTGACAATCTTTCACTTTGCAGATGACACCCAACCAAGTGAGGCACACCAATCAGGGCCTTGGCTATCATTTAGAGTCAAAGTGGAGATAAAGAGTTTCCCGGACAAGGAAAAGCTAAAGGAGTTTGTAACTACCAAGCCAGTATTATAAGAAATGGTAATGGGACTTTTTTTAAGATGAAGAGAAATAAAAAATATGAATAATAAAATGGTAATAACTACATACCTATTAATAATTACTTTAAACATAAATGAATTAAGTGCTCCGACTAAAAGACATAGAATGACTAAATGGATAAAAGAACAAGACCCTTACATATGCTGCATATAGGAGACCCCTTTCAGATCAAAAGACAGACAGCCTGAAAGTAAAGGAATGGAAAAAGATATTACATGCAAATAAAAAAAAGCTGGTGTAACAATTCTTATATTAGACAAAAACAGACTTTAAAACAAAGTCTATAACATAACAAGAGGCAGAGAAAGACAGTGCTTAATAATAAAGGGATTAATCCAACAAGAGAATATAACCCTCGTAAAGATTTATGCACCCAATGTAGGAGCACCTAAATATATAAGGAAGATATTGATCCACATAAAGGGAGAGATCTATGGTTATAAAGTCATAATAAGAGGCTTTAACACCCCATTGACATTAATGGATAGATCATCTAGACAGAAAATCAACAAGGAACTAGCTATCTTAATTAGCACATTAGACCATATGGATTTTTATAAGATTTTATTTATTTATTTTTAGAGAGAGGGGAAGGGAAGAAGAAAGACAGGGAGAGAAACATCTATGTGTGAAAGAAACATTGATCTATTGCCTCTTGCATGCCCAACTGGGGTCCTGGCCTGCAACCTAGGCATGTGCCCTGATCGGGAATTAAACCAGCAACTTTTTGGTTTGCAAGACGAAGCCCAACCCACTAAGCTAAACCAGGCAGGGATAGACCAGATGGATTTAATTGATATTTTTAGAACATTTCAGTCCAAAGCAGCAGAATATACATTCTTTTCGAGCACACATGGAACATTTTCCAGTACAGATCACATGTTAGGCACCAAAACAATTTCAATAATTTTAAAAGATTTAAATTGTAAACTTAACCAAAGTTGTAACCATCTTCTATTGGCATCATGGCTGCCCTTAGACCTCTGGTGAAACTCAAAATCATCAAAAACAAGATCAAAAATTTTATTCAGCACCAGTCAGACCACTATGGTAAAATTAAGAATAACTGGCAGAAATCTAGAGGCACTGACAATAGGGTATGCAGATGATTTAAGAGCCAGATCTTGATGCCTAAGATTGGTTATGGGAGAAATAAGAAAAGAAAGTACATGTTGTCCAGTGGCTTTTGGAAGTTTCTGGTCCCCAACATCAAGGAACTTGAAGTGCTGCTTATGTGCAATATATGTTACTGTGCTGAGATTGTTCATATCTCCTCAAAGAACTGCAAAGCCATTGTGGGAAGAACAGCCTAGCTGGCCATGAAGCAAAGAAAATAAATATACATCTTGTGTGCACATTGTATCCGTGTTAATGGAATCATAAAATTCTGCCATCTGGTAGAAGGTAGAACAGAAATGAAAAAAGGAAGGAAGGTTATACCAAGCATTATCTTTGATCACAATGATATAAAACTAGAAATCAATTACAAAAAGAAAACTGAAAAAACACATGAACACATAAAGGCTAAACAATATGCTACTAAATGATGAATTCGTTACCAATGAGATCAAGGAAGAAATCAAAAGATAATTTGAGACAAATTATAATGAAAACACAATAACCAAAAATCTATGGGTCACAGCCAAAGCAGTTCTAAAAGGCCTACCTCAAGAAATAAGAAAAATCTCAAATCAACAACCTAATCTTAAACCTAAGGGAACTAGAAACAAAAGCCCAAAGTGAATAAAAGAAAGGAAATAATAAAGATCAGAGCAGAAATAAACAGTATAAAAAATACAAAATATCAATGAAACCAAGATCTGGTTCTTGAAAATATATTTAAAAATGACAAGCCTTTAACCAGATTCATCAAGAAAGGAAAAGAGAGGACCCAAATAAATAAAATCAGAAATGAAAGAAGATAAGTGACACCACTTGTATTTCTGACACCACAGAAATATAAATGATTATAAGAAAATACTATGAACAATTGTATGCCAACAAATTGGGCAACTTGGGAGAAATGAATAAGTTGCTAGAAACACACAAATTTCCAAGACTGAAACTAGAAGAAACAAAAAATCTGAACAGACCAATAACTACCAATAAAATCAAATCAGTACAAAAAACGTCCAACAAATAAAAGTCTTGACCAGATGACCTCACAGATGAATTTTACCAAACATTCAAAGAAGAACAAACACCTATTCTTTTCACTCTTCCAAAAAATTGAAAAGGAGAGAAGGCTCCCAATCTCAATTTATAAGATCAGCATTCCCCTGATTCCAAAACCAGACAAGACATTTTTTAAAAAGAAAGAATTCTAGGCCAATACCCTTGACAAATATAGATGCAAAAATCCTGAACAAA